CTTTCATGTCCTTTATACAGGCTGTCACCAGGTATAGTTCAGATTAAGGTGGATCCTCCCACCTCAAAGGTCCAGATTAGAAGTGGGTCATCCCACTTCAAATGATTTAGTTAAGAAACAAATCCCTCACAGGTACACCCAGTCATTTAGGTTGTAGGTAATTTCAGATGTATTTTAGTTGACAACCAAGAACAGCCATCACAACTCCCCAATGGGACTATATCTGAAGATTGGCTTTTAGGAAGTAATTAAGGCTAAAAGAGGTCATAGGAGTAATGTCTTAATCCAACAGGACTACTCTGCTGGCCTTATAAAAGCAAAGGAGAGTTCTCTCTCTCTCTAGATAGATAGAGAGATAGATGATAGATAGATAGATAGATAGATAGATAGATAGATAGATAGATAGATAGATAGATAGATAGATAGATAGAGGTAAGGCCATATGAAGACCATCTTCAAATAAGGAGGAGCACTCTCATCAGGAACTGAACCTTGCTGGACCTTGATTTTGGACTTCTAGCCTCCAGAACTGTGAGAAATAAATGTCTTTTGTTTGAGCCACTTAGTCAGTGTATTTTGCTATGGCATCCTGAGCCAACTAAGGTTGTGGTGCCAACAAATGCAGTTTTGCTATAGCAAACATTAAACATGCCTAAGCACCTTTGCAACTGGATAGTGGGGAAAGGCCAGAAGAGTCCTGAGGTACATGCAGAATGGGAAGGCTGTTCTGGTGAGGACTTAGATGGCGGTGAGGAATGTGGTGATATTTTATTTGTGCTTTAATAAATAAAGCTTGCCTGGAGATCAGAGGAAAAAGCCAGCCACAACACAGAAGTCAGGCAATGTTAGCACACGCCTTTAATCCTATCACTTGGCAGACAGGATCTCTGTGTGTTCAAGGCCACACTGGAAACAGAGCCAGGTGTGGTGGCACACGTCTTAATCCAACACTAGTTAACCATGGAGGTCTGGAGGTCTGTAAAGACAGACAGGAAGTGACAGAGCTGGGCAGAAAGAGGAAGTGATGTAGCTGAACAGAGAGAGCAAATCAGATGGCAGAAGAGCAAGGCATAGAGGCCTAAGTAGACAGGAAGTAACTCGCCTTTGGAAGCTGCTGAGTTGGTGAGATAAGTTTAGCTGTGACTTTCCCTATTTCCCTGATCTCTTTCAGGCTTTAACCTCTATATCCAACTCCGTGTTTTTTATTTAATAAGACCATTTAGAAATTCATCTACAGAGGAACATGCTCTTGGAACTAGAGATGAACTTTTTATGATGTTAGACTTGTCTGATGAACACACTAGTGTTTTGTGGAAGGAAGACCTTGAGAGCGATGGAACTGGGTATAGAGCAGCAACTTCTAGATAAGGTACCCAAAGGGAAGAGTGGAGTCTCACTGCTTGTAGTTGTTAAGATGTGCGATGGGACAGATGAACTAATGCACTGGAATGTTAATCGAGAAGAAATGAGACTCGAAAGGTATGGGGAAATTCTGCTCATGGGAAAACCCGAGAAAGTGTGCTAGGAAGAAAGTGCTAACACTGTGTCTGGACAGCCATTTGATGAGATGGTGGGTACAGCTCCCGAGCTAGTAAAGTGATGGGCGTAGCTCATAGATGAATTCAACTAGTTCATCTTGGTTTCAACAGGCAAGATGGCCTTCACCATAAACCCGACAGTTGAGACTGCCCTGCAGAGCCCGGGGGGTGGGGCTATCTGGCAGAGCCATAGAGGAAGGACTGTCACACTAACAGGTTCACCAGCTGTGAATCAAGCCAAAATGGATTATTCTCATATATTACCATCTAGTGCAATTTGCTGGGTTTTGAGCTTGCTTGGCATCCATCACCCATTCCTTCATTTGCATTTCTATCCTTTGGTGTAGGAATGTCTGCCTTATGCCTGTCCTACCATAGTATTTTAGAAGCACATAACTTAGTTAGTTTCACGGGTGCATAGCTTAGGATGGATAATCAAATATCTGATTCAGGTGATAGACCAAACTTTGGACTTTAGACTTTACAGCTGGGGCTGGGATTCCAGACTCTGGAAATGGCTGAAGCAAATGTATGTATTTCATGCATGGACATTAATTAGGTGGGAAGGGGCAGGAATGGCATGACAAGGAATACATTTGGGTCTCCTTAAAAACTGTGTGCTGAAGGCCGAGCTCCTAGTGTAAACTGTATTTAGAAATAGGACTTCAAAGAGGTAATTAAGGCTAAGTGAGGTTATAAGAGTAGGGTCCTAATCTAATGGGACTGATAACATAATGAGAGAAGTATCTCTATCTCTCACCCTCTACATTCACTAACAAAAGTCTGCATGAAGACATATCAAGAAGATAATCATAGCCTGGCAGTGGTGGTGATGCCTTTAATCCTAGCACTCAGGAAGCAGAGGCAGGCAGATCTCTGTGAGTTCAAGGCCAACCTAGTCTGCAAAGCAAGTTCCAGGGCAGTCAGAGTTACACAGAGAAACCCTGTCTCAAAAAACAAAAACAAACCAAGAGAGAGTCAGAATTCATCAAGAAGACAAGATGGTGCAGGCCTATAATACCAGCATGTGTGGAGGGGATGCAGGAGGATGGGGACCATCTTTAGCTACATAGAGAATCTGAAGCCAGCCTGGACTACATGCAACATAAGATCCTTATAAAACCAAAAAGGAAAGACAATTGCCTGTGAGTCAGAAGTCTGGCAGGAAATGGAGTCAGATGGCATCCTAATCTTAGACTCTTCACACTCCAGAACTCTGGGAGACACCGTCCTTGGACTACCTAATCTATGAGATTTTGTTTCAGCAGATCAAGGAGACTAATAGAAAAAAATGAATTAAAAAAAACGAACAGTCTCAGAAACTTGTGAGACTACAACCAGAGCTAACGGTTCTGCCATCCAAATCCAGAAATGGAGACCAGGTAGGGTAGTGGGCTAAAAAATGTAATTTTGAAGAAATGGCACCAGGCTGAAAAATCTCCATGTTTGGTAAAGTTTCTAAACCTATGGATTGAAGCAGCCCAACAACTACAAAACAGTAATCCACACCGAGACACAGCACAGGGAAACCCGAAAGTAAAATAGCCACTTTCAAATGATGTTTCCAATACTAACCTTCACCTTTTCAATTAAAAACGTGCATGTTCAAAGTCACCTGCCACTAGTCCAAGAGTATAATGGAGAAAGGCAAGCATATCCGTCTTCTCAAGGCTCTCACAGTCAATGCATTGTCAGTGCAAATCTACATTTTCTATGGCATTAAAAAAATGCAAGGTACAAGCTACTTATAGTTGAGGTAAATCTTTATAAATAAATATTCTCAGGTAACTCAGATAGTTTAAAACACACTGAACATATCAAAGGTCTCTTTCGTAAACTAACTAAGCTGTAAGTTTTCAGCCTTGGGATTAAAATGATTCCAAGTATACATCTTAAAAGCTAGACAGAAAGACAAAAGCACAGAAGCAGGCCTCCATGCCAATATTCCTCAGCTTTAGGGGGAAGCTGCCCTCACGTGAGCTCTGAACAGAGCAGCCGTCAAGTCGACTATTTTCTTCTGGCTGTCAACACTAAGTTACCGCACCCATCACCCCTCAACTCTTTCCCCTGACTTTTCCATCTACTTCTTCTGTGTTCTTGTGCTTAAGGCTGAAGGACAACGGTTCTACCATTCCGGATCCTAGGCACGCTCACTGTGAATTCTCAGTCTTTTATTTCTGTTGCTAAAATGCCCACGTGTTTCCTTAGAACTTATTTCCTCAGTGTTCAGAGACTATCTAGCACGAGTAAGATGTCTTCTTTCCACAATGCTGTATCCTACTCTCAAGCATGTGGCAACGCACGCACGCATCAGGACGTTAGAAGAGAATTTCCTTTTGGTGTCTTCCATCCAGGAATTATTTTAAAAATGTAAACCTCGGGGCTGGAGGGATGACTCGGCAGTTAAGAGCACCAGCTGCTTTTCCAAAGGACCCAGGTCTAACCCCCAACTTACATGGCAGCTTACCACTGCCTGTAACTCCTGTTCCAGGGGATCCGATGCCCTCACACAGACCTACATGTGGGCAAAACACCAATGTACATAAACTACAAATAAATTATTAAAAAAGAATAACTTTAAAAAAAATTTAAAACCTCCTTTCATAGCCTAAGTGAGTTATGTCCCACATCAGCAGATGCCTCAATAACTTATAAGATAATCATCTTACATTTCTTTGTAGCCCTCATAACATATGGTAAATGCTCAAAAAAAAAATTCACTTTGAATGTCATACACTTATCCAGTATGGATTCTCTTTTGTTGGCCAAAGACTGAATGCTCACTGAAGGCTTGTCCATATGCCTTGCTTTTCCCTCCAGCATGAGTTTTCTGATGTTGAGAAAGAGATGAGCTCTGGCTAAAAGCTTTTCCACATTCTTTACACATATAGGGTTTTTCTCCAGTGTGAGTTTTCTGGTGTTTCATAAGAGATGAGCTCTGGCTGAAAGCTTTTCCACAGTCCTTGCATTGGTAAGGCTTCTCTCCAGTGTGTGTTCTCTGATGACGAATAAGGGCTGAGCGGTCACCGAAGGCTTTGGTGCAGTCACTGCACTTGTAGGGCTTCTCCCCAGTGTGAGTTCTTTGATGCTGCGTCAAGGCTGAACAGTAGCCGAAGGCCTTCCCACATTCACTACACTCATAAGGCCTCTCTCCAGTATGAGCTCTCTGGTGCTGAATAAGGCCTGAACGATCACTGAAAGCTCTGCCACATTCGTTACACTTGTAAGGTTTCTCTCCAGTGTGAATGACCTGATGCTGGGTTAGGAACGTGCTTTGGCTGAAGGCCTTCCCACATTCATTACATTCATAAGGTTTCTCTCCAGTATGAATTCGCTGGTGTTGAGTGAGGTATGAGCTCTGGTTAAAGGCCTTCCCACATTCATTGCATTCATAGGGTTTCTCTCCAGTGTGAATTATGTGATGCCGAATAAGGGCTGAGCGGTGACTGAAGGCCTTCCCACATTCATGGCACTCATAGGGCTTCTCTCCAGTATGAATTCTCTGGTGTAGAGTAAGGTGTATGCTCTGGCTAAATGCTTTACCACATTCATGGCATTCATAGGGCTTTTCTCCTGTGTGAATTCTCTGATGCAAGACGAAGGCCGAGTAGTAACTGAAGGCTTTCTCACACTCGTTACATTTCCAAGGTTTCTTTCCTGCCCAGGTTTCCCCCTGTTTAATCATAGCTGAATTTTTAAAGGTCTTAAGCGAACCACAATTATGAAGTCTCTCTCCTTGGTGTTGAACAAGTAATGACCACTGACTAAAATTTCTCATAATTTCATCACATTGGAGGCTTCTCTTCACAGAAAGTCTCTTCTGAGGGACCAGCTCTCATATTGGGTGTTTTTCATGGTTTTCCCACTGGTTTTCTAAAGAGTCTTCACAGTCCCTGGATCCTTCCTCTGGAAAACTCTCTAGTAACACTCCAGGGGATGATTCCTCTTCAGAAAAATGCTTCTCTTGAGTTAGCTTCTTGCTTTCTGGCACTGTTTCCCACTCTGAAAGAAACAAATTACATACAAAGAGAAATAATAAGACAAACCAAAAATGCTTGCAGAAAACATAAACTGCAAAGTCCTCAGAGTCTTGCACTGTTGAAAGGACATGAAGAAATGGCTGACTGGGAAAAGATGCTGCGAAAAGGGAAGGGGTGAGAAGCCAGTCAACACTGCGTTAGTCAGCAAGGTAGGGCATGAGGAACAGTAACAGAACCAGGCCAAGCAGTGGCGGCTTGAAATGACACACAAATAAAACAGGGTCTGGAGGGCACATGGATGAGATAAGAAAAAGCCTCTAGGGACTCACTCATTGTACCCCCAGACTCATTGTACCCCCAGACTCATTGTACCCCAGACTCATTGTACCCCCAGACTCATTGTACCCACAGACTCACTGTACCCACAGACTCACTGTACCCACAGACTCATTGTACCCACAGACTCACTGTACCCACAGACTCATTGTACCCACAGACTCATTATACCCCCAGACTCACTGTACCCACAGACTCACTGTACCCACAGAGCCCTTCACCGCTTACCTGAAGAAAGACCACCTTTAGCCTCCCTTCTTGCTCTAATCTCTTCCCATGCTCTCATGTCCTAATTGTAACTAAAAACTAATCTTTCGAAATCAGTCCTCTTACACACACACACACACACACACACACACACACACACACACACACACTGGTTGTCACTGTTTCAAAATAAAACACAAATTCTAGAAGCTAGTATTCAATGTTGTATGGCTCTACCAATTCAAATGATTATAAAGCTTAGTAGTTAGAAAACACATGATAAACTCTGATTGCTTACTATCATCCCCAACCAGAAAAAATACAAAGAACAAAACAGAATCACATTTTTTGAAAGAAAAAGAGCAGTGTGTGCAGAGCAGGTCACAGTTCCATTTGCTCAGATTGGTTCCCAGCATGTCAGGGTAGCTGTGTCAAAATCCTGATGTACTGAGAAGAGTTCAAGGGGGGAGTTTCATTGCTAAAAATAGCTGTAAATCCGCCCAGGCTTCTAAGTGTTATCATTTGGATACAGTTTGAATGTGGCCCCAAAGGTTCATGTGCTAACTTGATAACTAGTGCAGCAGTGGTGGGTGGTAGAACCTTTAAGAAGTGAGGACTAGTGATATGTATTAGATGAGGGGGCAATAATTTTGGAAGGGTATTTTGAGGAGTGAATTAATTCTTGCAGGAATGGGCTGTTATAAAATGAGACTACCCTATATACCTGGTCCCTTCTGCACATGACCAGTTTCCTTTCTGTTTCTCTGCCACATTGTCATGCAGACATGGAAGCTCTGACCAGGGCCATTAAGATGTGACACAAAGCTCTTCATTTTCCAGAACTGTCAAAAGGAATTTCTTTTCTTACAAAGTACCTATCCTTGAACATTGTGCTATACCAACACAAAATAGGCTAATAAAGATGGTATCTAATATTCAGCCATGTTTCTAAATGTTATAAACTGCATACCACACTCTGCAAAGTGCCTGAAATCTTAAAGGACAAATAGGTAGAAAAAGATCAAAAGCAAATAGATGTCCAGGGAAATGAAGAAACGAAGCTCTGAGTATCTGTAGAGAACTGATGATTAGTGGAGGATACTAAGAGACATGCCTGTCTTCTGTTAAGGATTCAAGAGAAGTAAAAAAGTTTAGGCAGGAAAACTATAAAGACATTGGAAGAATGTAGAAAAATATAGCATTGGAAAAGTTAGGAACTCATTGAAGATCCCAGCAAAACAATGCTTCTTCAATTATACAGGGATACGGCCAAAGAAATATAAATTTGTTTGTAATCTATTGTAGTAATCCATCTTGACAGAAGTAACACGACATCATTAAAAAATACTATAGTTAATCAATAGCATTCATTTGCTTAGCATATAGGGGGTGCTGTTTAAACACTTTCTATCCCACTTGAACCTCACCACAGTGAGTGAAGAGCTGTCGTTTCACAGCTGGAACACTTGACTCACAAAGAGGGTAACCCAGTCTTTAAAGATCACAGAAATACTGATTACCTAAGATCAGCTGTGAACCCAGAAAACTGGTTTCAAAGTCTGTACCCTGAACCACGATGCCATGCTACCTCTGCTTGGATAGGGAAAACACAGAAACCAACCAATAATCAGTAGACTAAGACAGAAAAAAAATCATTATACTGTAAATATAAAACAGCATGTGAAAAACAACAGTCAGGTAATGTAGGAGGCACAGAGGTCTCTGTGCTCATAGATATGCATTAGGGAAACCAGGAGTATTAAACATAGAGGGTTGTCTCTTCAAAGGGAAAGATGTATAGCTTGTTTTTTGCCCAGAAGGCTGGGAGCAGAGATAGTTAACAGCCTGATGGCCTTTGCACTACCTGTGTGGCATTTCCATGGGTAGAGGCAATCCCAACAGGCTCCTCCACAAGCATTTACATGACCATCTGAGTTATATTCCCACTGTCTCCAAGAGTCACTCACCTGGACTGGCTGCTTTTGAGACATCCCTCTCTAGTTCTTCCCTATGCTCCAACTGAGAGATCACATCAGGTTTGGAAATTGGAAGCCCTGTTCACAAGGAAAGGAAAGGAGTCTGGTAAAGAGTGCCCTGATGGCTCCCTGGTCTTAAGGAAAGATGTGGGGAATGGGGAAGGAGGAGAGAAGAAAGGGAACAGGGAAGGGTTAGCTTTGGATTTCTTCAACAGTGCTTAGAAGAAGGTAGAAAATGGGGCTGGAGAGATGGCTTAGAGGTTAAGGGCACCGACTGCTCTTCCAGAGGTCCTGAGTTCAATTCCCAGCAACCACATGGTGGCTCACAACCATCTGTAATGAAGTCTGGTCCCCTCTTCTGTATACATAATAAATAAATAAATCTAAAAAAAAAAAGAAAAAGAAGAAGGTAGAAAAGTTAATATGGGATTTGTTCTAGTAAGGGTTACTATTGCTGTGATGAAACACCATAACCAAAGCAACTTGGGGAAGAAAGGGTTTATTTGGCTTACATTTCCACATCACTATTAATCCCCTAAGGAAGTCAGGATGGGAACTCAAACAGGACAGGAACCTGGAGGCAGGAACTGACACAGAGGACATGGAGGAGTGCTGCTTCCTGGCTTGTTCCTCATGGCTTGCTCAACCTGCTTTCTTATAAAACCCAGGACCACCAGCCCAAAGACGGCCCCATCCACAGTGGGCGGGGTCCTCCTTCATCAATCACTAATTAAGAAAATGCCTTACAGCCAGATCTTATGGGGAGCATTTTTTCAATTGAGGTTCCCTCCTTTCAGATGACTCTAGCTTGTGTTGAGTTTACATAAAACTAGCCAACAGAGGGTTTATTTGAGTTCAGAACCATCAAATCACTCGTTTTTTAACCTCACTATAAAAATAAATACCTATTCTCTTAAGAGTTTCTTCACCAGAGCTTTGTCTTGATATCTTTGCCTAGGGAGTAGAAAAGGGTACTTACTATAGTATATAATATATAGGCTATAATAATTCTAGAAGCAGTCAAAGTAGAACCAGAAGCAAAAAGCAGGACCTCTGTCAGGCCTTACAAAGACTGAGAATCTTTGGAACAAAGAGCCTCAGAGCTCCTAGAAACCCGGCAGTAAGGTGCTGAGCTAGGTAACTCACAGGGAGAGGGGCACCATCCTTACCCAGCAACACCAGATTCCTGCACTTCTTAGGCACATCTCCCTGAGAAGGGTTCAGCTTTCCCCACTGGGTGAGAGCCTCAGCCATATTCTTGATCAGCAAGTCCTGAAAAGACAAATACATCAATGCTTACTAATGGCCTCCAGTCAGAGACTCCCCCACCCCCAGAAAGAACCACTGATGGTAGAGGAGGGTGACAGGAAGGGTAGACAAAATGACTCTCACTTCCCTTTCCACATTAAGACTCTTGGGCACATTTGTGCTCCACAGGTTTGGTTTTTTGTCATTTTGCATCAGCGTTCCTGTTACCTATAGGAAGCACCTTCCAATTCTAAACCTGAAGGCAAGGAGTTTCTAGTTTCTGTGTTGTTGAATTAAAGAACTGTGGAGCTGCTTACTATGTATCCAGGGAGAGGCCCAAAAAGTATCACACTTTCTTTGCAGTATGGTTTTTAAAACACAGGGAGTTCACAAAGGAGAAAGTGCTTCTCTCTTTAGTTTTTCTTTCCCAGTCCATTATATGTTAAAAATCAACATGCTTGCCAGGCAGTGGTGGTGCACACCTTTAATCCTAGCACTAGGGAGGCAGAAGTAGGTTAATCTCTGTGAGTTCGAGGCCAGCCTGGTCTACAGAGGAGTTCTAGGGCAGTTCCAGGGCTACTCAGAGAAACCCTGTCTCAAAAAAACCTACATAAATAAATAGATGCACAAACATGTTTGCTGCATGTGCCACAGAATATGGATTTACTCAAACTCAAATAATCATGAAGTTGCCCAAATGCTCCTGTCCTTTTCCACAAAGCACTGATAAGCAGGGCCTGGCCCCACATTGACTCTTCTTCCTATTCCCGAGGGTTTTCCCCTGCTCCATCCTTTCAGGCATTTGACTCCTACTCACACCAG